TTCATCTACTCAGGCCTGGGTTTAAATGTCACTTCTTGAGCCAGTTTCCTTGTGGCCCATATCTACTCTGTGCGTACGTGTGTGTGTGTGTGTGTGTGTGTGTGTGTGTCTCTTTCTCTCTCTCTCTCTCTCTCTCTCTCTCTCTCTCTCTCTCTGTCTCTCTCTCTCGTACACACACACAAGCACATGCACACAATTTAAATTTAAAAAGTAAAAATAAGTCTTTTTTTTTTTTTGACAGGATATCATTACGTAGCCCTGGCTGGCCTGGAGCTTGCTATGTAGACCAGGTTGGCCTCAAACTCACAGAGCTTCTCTCCACCTCTGCCTCCCAAGTACTAGGATTAAAGGCATGTGCTAACATGCCATACAAAATAATATTTTTTAAAAATGTACGTATTTTCCTTCTCTGGTATGCTATTGGTTTCTTAGAAGGACTCTAAGACCTATCACGGATGAATCACATTGCTGGCACTTAGCATGGTCTAGCTTGTAACAGAAGGCAAATACTTAATGGAAAAATGCCTGCCCACTGGCATAGCACGTTAGTGGCCCCGGGCCACCACGTATTTTGAGGAAGATAAAGTTCAGGGATTGACCAACTTTTAAAAGTAGGCGTGGGTAGATAGCCTTAGAAGCATGATTCCATCTTAGAAGCAAGATGCCCGACTATGAGCTGAGAGTGAGACTTTTTATTTGACTGACTTTAAACACTAGGGAGCTTGTTACACTGGAGGATTATTTTTTCCAGGGCTTGACTAACTTGAGTTGCTATTGGCCTGTTTACTTTGAAATCTCTTCTGTTTATTGCAGCCATCGTTGCCGAAGAGTCTTTTCCTAATAATAGTGTTGGGAGCCGACTCTTAGCCGAAAGTGGCTATCATCTTTACAGCCATCTTGAGCCATATACCCTGATAAGAGACTTGTTTCAACAGCCTGCAATAGCTGAGCGCACTCTGATAAACATCTTGTTACACTGTTTAGTGCCCCCAGCTGCCAGGTGCTCCTGGTATCCATGGCTACAAGGCACGTGACGTAGTGGCTTCAGTTGAGATTGTCCACGAGGGCAAGTCACGTGGTAAAGGGTATAAATACCCAGGATTTCCCTTCTATAGGAGAGTAGAAGAGTAGAGGAGTAAAGGAGGTAGAAGGTAGAGATAGAAAGTAGGAGGTAGTAGGAAGAAGTAGAGGAGTACAGGAGACTGAAGGAGTGAGAATATAGTAAGAAGACAGGAGAATAAAGAAGACTTGAAGAGACTCCACCGGACTCTGGCTTGTATCTATCTTTTGCGTCTCTCGCCCCTTTTTTCCCCTTCCTCCGTCCCCACTCTCTCTTGCTAGACCCTGACCTGCCGACCGGAGCAGCAGAACCGGCCGGCCTTTACAAAGTAGCAGAACCTGACAGCCGTTACAAAAGAAACGGCAGTTACATAATAGTAGTTAACTATTCACAAGACACATTCTCTTCACAAAATAGTTGACTGATGAACTACTTTGGGTAGTTTCTTTAAATGCAAGAGGAACGGAGTTCTTGCAGGTTTACAGTAAGGCTGGTCCAGCACTGCCTAGGGTCTGAACATTCAGATGGGCTCGTGTCATTTTACCATCTTCCCTGGGACGCTCATTTTCCTTCTAGCAGAGCAGGAATAATCAGGCCAAGTAGCCATAGACTTAATTGGAAGTATCTTTTCAGGGCGAACAAATGACAGATATTTTTCAACACATCCATCAGTGCTGCATTTGTGATACATTTTGTCCCTCCAAAGTCATGAACTAGAGTTTTAGAACCCAATGTAACAGTGTTAAGAGAATTCTCTCCTTTCATCCTGCTTCCTCCTCCTCCCTCCCTTCTTCCCATATTTTACCCCCTCTCCCTGTATCCCACCACGAGATGCCATCTGTCATGTTATGATACAGCATGAAGCCTTTGCCAGTTGGAGCCAGTTGATCTTAAATTTGTGCATCCAAAACTGTGAGCCCACTACACCTGGCAAAATATGATTTTTAAATTAATCTCCTGGCACAAATTTATATTGATTTTCTCCACAGATTTTATCCTTGATATTCTTTGTCTTTTAATGTGATAATAATTTGACAAGTTTTCACAGAGATAGTTTAGAAAGTATAAATGTCTGCTTGGTGTTCATGCCTGGTGTCTCTAGAGACCAAAAGAAGGTGTTGGGTCCCCTGGGACTGGAGTTACAGAAGGTCGTGAGTGTCTATGTGGGAGCTGGGAGTCAAACCAGAGTCCTTTCAAAGAGCAGACAGTGCTCTTAACTGCTGAGCCATCTCTCTAGCCCGTTTATAACTTCCTTATGACATCATAAACATTTTGAGGATTGCCATCAAATCTGGAGACATCTTCAACAGTTTGTTTACTCTAATGACTCAAAACAATGGGGCATGTCAGATTTCTTCCAACGGATGGGACTCTTGTTTGCTCAAAAGTCCTTTAAACTCTAACAGAAGAGAACTTCCTTTTATTAAATCTTTAAAATAGCATACATCAAGCCTGGATTGATGACGGTTTCCATAATCCCAGCCCTAACATCTTAAGTGAACTGTACAGAATGAGGACTCTTGGATTTTTGCTCTCTTAGTTCCAGGGCAGACCCTTCCACAGAAAGAAGTAGAGAAGCTGATAGACCCCCCTTTTAGGAGCTAAAAAAGAAAAATGAAAAGGAACTTGACAATTTCAACTTAAGGCAGAGGCCAGCTACATAGTACCTTCCCACTATCTTAGCCTATATACAGTGTGAGGCTGCTTCTAAAACCAAACCAAACCAAACAACCAAACCAAACCAAACCAAACCAAACCAAACCAAACCAAAAAATAGCTAAACAGACAGGCAGTGGTGGTACACACGCTACCAAGCACTCTTCTATGGAGCTACACATTCCATGTCACACTTTTTTTTCTTTTTTGACTCTAGAATGAGCACACATTCACTTAATTAAGAAGTCTGCCCTAACACCTTTCTCTCATAATCTTGAGAGAGCCGGCCCAACGGGTGGGAAGAGTATTCTTGGAAGCTTGGGACAGCTGGCAACGTCCTAACCACAGATAGAAGAGACCTTAGGCTACGAAAATAAATCTTACTAAATTCAAACCAAATGTAACCCGAGTTCAATTTTAGCAAAAGATTTTTAAATGCCTGCCAGCGACTCTAACACCTTCAGTCAAGAGGAAGTGTGTCGGAGGGAGAGTTCCTGGGGGTGAACAAGAACTGTAAAACCGTCTTATTTTTACAAAGTTTATAAAAGCATATGGCCACGTAGACATATTGCTAAGACCCCTCCTAGGATCTTGGAAGGGGGCACTGACAGTTCGGATTCCAGACACTGAAGCTTCACTGACTGACTTCAGGATCTGGAGACATCCTTTGGTCCGTGACTCATAAAACATATTAAGGATTAAAAAAGTTTTTATACGGATCATATCTGGCAGCATTTACTGTGATGAGAATTTTAAAACATGTAAAATAGCTTTATTAGTGCATTTTAAAACAACCATATTACAAGTTAGCTGCACAACATTTCTAATAAAACATCTTAGGAGTATTAGTGGGATGTGTGTGTGTTTTTTGTCCTTGTTGTTGTTTTTCTGTAAATTCTCTTACTGATGGCCTGGTTGGAATATGCTCTGCACTTAAACCATGACAAAGGAGCTGTAGTCTCTGGAAAATCCAACTGCGTTGTCATTATAGCAGAAGAACCAAAATCGCCCTACAAAAACATGTTTGGCTTTACTGCCCCTGACTAGACACAGAATCACACATTTAGAAACCATTACTTTCGGATGCCTGAAGCTCTTTGTCTATCTCTCCCAGAAAAGTGCCAACCTGTTCCATACTTTAGCAAACAAGGAAAGCTTTACAGTTTTAAATGAATAACAAAAGTTAGAGAAGTCTTTCTTTCACTGCCAAGTAAATTATCTCTGGCTTTGCCCTTATTTCCAGTATCTAAGGCTTTCTTCTTTAAGCTCAAACACAGTGCCTTATATAGTGTGCTCAGTAGTACTTTTTAAAGATTTAATTTTATTCATTTTAACTATACATATGTGTCTTGTGTGGTTAAATACTGGAATACTCTTGGAAGCCCAGAGCTGTTGGATCTGCTGGAACTGGGGTTACAGGATTTTGAGCCACCACCCACCGTGGTGCTGGGAACTGAAATCTTAGCCGTTGTGCCACCTCTCCAAACTGTTGCTGATGCTTGTTTCTGTGCTGGTTTGAGTCTAGGTAATAAAATCTAAGGCCTTTTTCCATGCTAGGTAAATGCTCAAAACCCAACATCCTGGCACACCCTCTCCCTCATCCCCAATTGTAAGTTTCCAAGTTCTTCCTGAATCCTAGGTGTATGCTAACTAAGTGCTTTTTCTTTCATTATCTCATTTCTCATTGCAATCCTAGGGGACAGATAATAATATTGTATTCCTTCTTTGCAGATGTAGCGCCCAAGATACAGGGAAGTTAAAATCTAACTTTATACAAGAATGGCTTAAGATTTGACCTCAGATGACACTCAAATGCCATCTATTATTCACCAATAAAGAATACGGGTGGGAGACTAAGCGAAATCCTCGTGTTCAAAAGTGTAAAAAGACGCTTATTAAAGCAAAAACCCCTGAAGGCCAAGCCAGCCCCGACAGCCACCCCGGATGCATCGTCTTATTTCCCACTCCACAACTTCACTTTATTTCCTATACTCTTATAAGCCTCTCCTTATAACTGTCCTTCCTGATGGCTTCGAAGGCTCTGAGACCTGCCGCTGACCCTGAAATGAAGGCGCTAAATCGTACAGAAACCAGAAAAAAAAAAAAAAAAAAAAAAACGACGAAAACGTGGTAACCACGGTAACGGCGGCGTGGCAGGAGCTCTGCGCAGGCGCACTGCGTCCTCGCGTGGGCCCGCTTCGGCTTGGAACACCCCGAGCTTGGGCGACTCCGGGGTGGGTGGGAAGCCGGCGGCGCGCGCCTGCGCAGTGGCGCGGGCGCTGGTGTGACCGAGCGCACGTAGCGAGGGCTGCGGCCGCCCCCTCCCCGGCGCGCCGGCGCGGCAGGCGACTATAAAAGGGTGGACTGGCTCCCTCTGCTGCCCAGTCGCACCGTCGGCAGGCTGAGGGCGGCGGGGACCTAGCTAGTGGCGACTGCAGGCGACAGGACTGACCCGAGCCGAGCTCCTCCTCACGGCCCGCTAATCCAGGTGAGGCGCTCCTCCGATCTTGGGAACGGATGCCGGGTCCCCGCGGGCAGCCGGGGTCCCCTCGCTCTGGAGGGGGAGCTCAGCCCTTCCCACAGTCGTCCCCGGTCTCCCCGAGGAGACCCGGCCCCGCAACCCCGAAGCCAGGCCGCCCCGCCGCTCGCCCAGCTTCCCTCGCCGTCCCCCACCCCGTCCTGCCTCTGGCTGGAGCTGCGGCAGCGGCTTGTGCCCCGCCCCAGCACTAGGACCTTCTTGAATGTTCCATCCCGGGCAGCCAGCCTCCCTGATGACTTGTGCAGCGGTACCTCGTCCTCCCCACTTTGCTGAGGGAAGGCGAGGGCGGACGGGCGGGGGTCTGGGCCGCCCCAGCCGCAGATGGTTAGCATGTGGCAGTGGGGAAAGCTGGCAGCGCTTGCAGCCGGGGGCTGAGGCGCTCCATTTCGATCTCTCTGTCTTTTTTTTCTTTTTACTTTTGGAAAGTGAAGCTAGGAAGTGGGACCTACTCAGAAGTTAGGACTGAACTTGTCTGTTGCGCTTCGCGGTGCTGTCTCAGCAAGTAGACGTAGCCCCGGGCGGCGAGTTTAGCTGAGAGGTTGCTGTCATTTCACAGTTGGGGAAGCTGGCTTCTTCCTTCCTCTTCATCCCTGTGAATCACTTAAGGACACACGCGTCTGTCTCTGTATCCCGCTCCCCCCGCTGCTCCTTCTCTCCTCCCGGCTTCCAGTCTTCCCTACCTCCTCTGGTTCGGCTCACCCAGACCCCTTTCCCCTTTTCGTCCCTCACGCTCCCCTCCTCTTGAAGGGTCGAAAAGTCAGTCTATTTTAGCCAAACCTTCTATGGTTGTTTGAGAATTTTAAACTGAGTTTTGTGATTAGCCCCAGATGGATGCTCAGTGTGGGGAAGGATGGTACTATTAAATACGAGGTAGTTTCTCCTAAAGAGTGAGAATTTGGTACAAAGGCAGGTTTTCGACGCTAACGTCTTAAGCTGACCTTCCAAATGTGGACTCTTGGGTTTTGTACCCTGGTTTATAGGGAAGAGTCTCCACAGAAAGGGATGGAGAAGCTTCTGGATCTTCTTTTTAGGAAATGATTTTTAAAAAAAAAAATTAAAAGGAACCTGCCAGTTTTGACTTTAACTCGAGAGCTATGGCTCTTGGACTTTTCCTTGGAATGCACTCTGGAGGGATGGAATAGCCACTACGTGAGTGGGGGAGGGGGGAGACGTGGCAACACTGTTCTTTCATCAACTTTTTTTTAAGGTTGAGGGAAAAAAACCGCATTTCCCTTCTCAGGTTTAGATGGAGCTTATGAATGGAACTAGTCTTTTCCTAAAATAATCACATTGAAAAATTATTCCTGTTTAGCAGGACACATTGAAAATTAAATTTAAAAAACACACAAAAGAGTTATTTTGATTATTTCTAGGAAGAAAAGAGATTTTTAAGCAGGAAGTAGAAGCTGAAAGTGACCAAGCTCTGAATATTTTTATCTTGATTTGAAATAGGAATACTCATGATTTCTTTCTTTCTTTTTTTCCTCCTCAGCCACTGATTGTCGTTAACTTTAAACCCTGTCATTTCAGAACCTTAAATATGAATTGGAAGTTTTACCTTTTCCTTTTGTAGGAAGCATAGATTTATGTTCCTTACTTTAAAAGGTCACGACAGTTTGATTTTGGAATATTGTGCTTAATGTTTTCCTGAGGGCAGATGCCTTTTGGATTCACAGACTAAGAAAAGGACTGCTGTTTCTCTTTTAGGTGGATAAAGCTGTTTCCATTGTTATACTGAAATGAATTCTATTTTGAAATAAAGCTGAGACTTTGATAAAAGAATTGGGCATTTTGTTGCTTTCTAAGTCAGCTAGTAAAATAGAGGGAACACAGGTACAACTTGTAATTGTAAAAAAATAAAAAATAAAAAAAAATTTAAAACTTTTATAGCCGGTGGTGGTGGTGGTGGTGTGTATGTCTTTAATCCTGGGACTTGGGAGGCAGAGACAATTGGATCTCTGTGAGTTCGAGGCCAGCCTGGTCTACAGAGTGAGTGAGTTGAGGGCAGTCTGGGCTACACAGAGAAACTATCTTAAACAAACAAACAAACAAAAAAACCAAGAAGAGGAAGAAAGCAAAGCTTTAGGTCGCTGTGTATCACCTTTGTTGCAGGTGAGCTGTAGCTTTGGTGAGGAGATACTAATTTTCTGTTACACAGAGTGAGTTTTGGACTGACAAGCAGTGTTTTTCACAGAGCAGTTCATTTCAAGCCTTTGCTTTGATGCCAGGGATATAGTAAGAATGGAGACAGCTATAAAGTTTGTGAACCTTAATTTCTGTGGGCAGAATGCTTTGTTTTTAATAAATGACTAACCTAGGTGTAATTATTGTTTTTAGATTAATTTGTGAGATCCAGACTGTTTTTCAGTCTATTTTTGAGGCTATGAAATCCCTTGAAAGTCTACAGCAAAGTGAGGGCCTAAATCAGAAAATACAAATACATGTATTTCTATATAATTTATATACCACTTATACCCCCCACTCATGAGCTCTGCTGTAAGAATCCCTTAAAAATTTAAGGATATGTAGGCTTCTTGATGCAGACATTCTTGGCTATTTCAGAAAGTTGAGGTGAGCATATATATCAATTTCATTCAAGTATGAGGGTGGCCGTAGTAAGTTATTGCTGAAAGTGTTTCTAACAAAATAAGTTATTCGGATTTGTTGAACTACTGTACTGTGAATCAGTTACAGTATATTGTATTATATCTTTTTGTTTGTTTGTTTGTTTGTTTGTTTGTTTTTTGAGACAGGGTTTCTCTGAGTAGCCCTGGCTGTCCTGGAACTCACTCTGTAGACCAGGCTAGCCTCGAACTCTCGAACTCAGAAATCCGCCTGCCTCTGCCTCCCAAGTGCTGGGATTAAAGGCGTGCGCCACCACCGCCCAGCTTATTGTATTATATCTTGTTCCTCCTCTCCCCCCAACATTGTAACACTCTGATAGTGAAAAGCATGAAGAGAAGCAAATGGAATGGAATGGTCCTTGACGTTAATGTTTATTGCCTGTCTTGTGGTGAGATCTTAAATCTTATAATTAAAGCAGTTTATGGAATGTATGTATAAATATATGAATATATGAGAAGCCAAATAAAATATATATGTGAAATCAGTGTTTGTATTCAGTGAAATGATTTTATTTAATTTCTATATAAATTTTTATATAATTTGAAGCTGTTCTGTCATTAGTTTTCCTTAAGCCAAAGAGAGATTATGACTGAGTAAAAAATCTAAGAAATTAAAAAAGATTCTCACGTAAGGTACCACAGAAATTTCGAAGCAGATTCAATGAATTCCTTTTCCTTTGGATGCTCAGGATGACTGTTAGTATATTTGGCTGGGTGTTGGCTAAAAATACAGTACAAAGATTCATACTCTTACATAACTACCAGCAGAGTGAATCCTGCCTTGGATTTCTTCTGCTTCCTGTTTTTATAAATGTGTTCATGTTTTGGTGTTTTATTGTTTTCTCAGTAATATTAAACCAGTATGATACCTCTATTATTGTATACATAAGCTGTTTGTTATAAATAGTCTAAAGGGAAGAGTGTAATTCAGTGGTTGTTCCATTTCCTTGGATGGTTGCAGTTAATTTTAACTGGGGGGGGGGGGAATTTCTCACTGAAAAAAAAAACTGAAATGTCAGCCCATCTAACTCTGCCTAGTCACTGAAAAACAAAGCAGACAAAATTCTGCTCAATATTATAGCTCAGTTTCAAAAGACTCAAACTTTAGTGGATTTCGTCAAGGGTGCCAAAAGAATGAATGATAGAAATTATAAGAATGAAAAAAATTCAAGAGTACTAAATGAAGAAAATCACAGCTGAGAGAACATAGAACACCAGGGAAGAGAATTTAAAACAAATATTGGAGTTAATGAAGAGGAAAAAAACAATGAGACTGAAACAGTATTTAAAATGTAAAGTAATTAAAGTATTTCAATCGCAAGGGGAGAGTAGCTCTGGGTGACCTGGAACTTCCCTCAAACTTAGAAAGACCTGCTTGTGTCTGCCTTCCAAATGCTGGATTAAAGACATGCCACCATGCCCAACCTTGGATCGGTTATTTTTCTATCATTGTAATAAAATACACAAGGCTAGATAATAGGTAAGGAAAAGAGTTTTGTTTAGTTTGTGAATCTGGAAGTCTTACAAGTAGGACATGAAAGTTGCATCATCTGCGAACATGATGCAGTTAATTTACTCCATATTAAATATGAGTAAGTTCTGAATGAAACTACATATTTAGAATCATTCACATCTTTTCTGCAACTGAGTTCATTTTCTTTTACTATATATAATCTTAAAAGCTTTGTTGTTTCTATTGTGTGTGTATGGGTGTTTTGCCTGCATCTGTCCTCTACAGAGTACAGAAAAGGGAGGTCGGAGGCCTTGATGATGGAATTGCTGAGGGTTGTTAGCCACCATGTGAGTGCTGGGAATCAAACTCTGGTTTTCGGTAAGAGCAACAAAAGATGCTCTGAACTGCTGAACCATCTCCAGCCCTAGTACATGTGGTCTTAAGTTTGTGTGTCTCTTCCTCCTCTTGAGAACTGGCATTGGAAAAGAGGAAAGCTAGGAAGAGAAGAGTTAGGCCAGTGTAAGGAAAAAGGAAATTTAAGACAGCTAATCCCAGCACTCCAGGGGAGCTCAAGTTTAGCCACTCTGGGCTATGTGGTGAGAGCATACTTCAAATGAAATAACACCCGGAGGCACTTTCAGTAGGATGGCCTTGGGAGAGATGGAACTTTGAAGTGTATGTTGAAGATGACTTTGAAGCTGTCACCTGTTTATTGAGAGGATAGAAGGTGTTTGTGCTCTCTACTAACTTGCCCGTCTTCTAGAGAATGGGTTATGGCCAGAGATACGAGAATCCATAATCTTTTATATTGGGGATGATATTTGAGCAATATAAAGTATATAACGGCAGTTTGTCTCTCAGAAGATATGCAG